CTTGTGCAAAATTATGATCTAAAATGTTGACTAAATAACGACTTAACAAACCGTAATTCGACTAGGACAAGACACAAAAACTGAAGATATTTGCTTAGTTACGAGTCTGGGAACACAAAAATAACTGCATGAAATAGACCAACAAATTAAATTATGAAGATTTCCGTATTCTGGGTTGTTGCGCTTTGTAGTCCGGTCGATGTTAACCGACGTTTCAGAGGTCATACTGCCTCCGTCATCAGGGCGATGAATTAAATTATGTTTATGGTATACAACAAAATAAAAATTTAAAACCATAACAGCAATATATGTTCTAATAAGACATGGAATTTGCGAAGTAAACACTACAGGAGTAATTTTTCATTAAATACTTTCGGGACACGGAACACGAATGGAGTAATGTTAAACGACGCCCACAGTAGTGCTCAAAATGATATCCGAATGATAAAAACACTTTACAAAATGTCGATGTTGGTCTTCTGGGTTGTAACTCGCTGTGGATTTGTAAGTGGAGATAGAGACGTATGTTTCTCCGAAACGTTGGTATGTACTCAAAAACACAACGGAACAACCCAAAAGACCACAATCGACATCTTCCTGACCAGAATCAAATCTCACAACATTCATTAGTGATTGCCATTGTACTTCAAGCCTTACAGTAGTATATTCCAACTTATATTTGAACTATATTAACACAATACGAAAGTACTTTCTAAACCGAATCTCTAAAACTAGACTCCCCTTTATTTTAAATTAAAATTTAGGACTTCCTATCTTGTGTAAGGAATGCACAGACACGTACTCAAAAGACAGAACATTGCTTGTTTATATCTTTTTAATATTTGCCCTATGCTCGAAGAAAGGGATCGTGGCAACTTACCCACTTTTTCCCTTATCCTTGACGAGGTTGTTCCATTGCGTCATAATCGTCCGATCACCACAACACGGAACAGTTTATACAACACGCAAAATCTTCGTGGCCACTGACGTGGACTACCCGTTTCCTTTAAATCAATGTTGGGTAATCTTTCTACACTCGAGGCACACTAAATATTGTTGAAGACTCGTGGCGGCACACCAACCCCATTTTGTAAATTGTGGGGGGGGGGGGATAGATGGTTTATGGCATTGATTGGCCGCGACTTCTTCTTACAAATCGACCCCAACCGAAAAATGTTCTATTTGATGTTCATAATTATCCATCTATATTATTATGTAATGTATTTTAAATATATTCATTATTTGAAATAAATTAAAACATTTATACATATAGTTTAATCCAAAAATTTATTAACTATGTGTAATCATTAAAACTTCAAGATAATTATTCATATTTTATATATAATTATTTCACAGTAACCAAATCAGTTTCCCACAACCCAAAAATCCAACTGTATATAGAATATGACCGTCATTTACAAACAGTAAATGCGATAAGAAAAAATATTAGATTTAAAATAAAACTATATATCAATAATTATCGAATTATGAAAATCTATAATCCATTTAATGGCTGTGTGGTTCAAGAAAAATACAGAGTAACAATAAAAGTAAAGTGGAGGTATATATGTTTTGCTGCAAAGTGGTTGTGTTCTGTTTTAATTCCATTTAGTAGATCGTGTCTGTCCTGTCTGCCCGACTATAATGAAGAAAATTACAATATGAGGTGAAAATTTCGTGGCACACCCAGGTGGCCTCCGCGGCACACAGGTTGCGCATCACTGCTTTAAATAACTACGGCGTAGAAGCACATTATCTAAGTGGGTACTGAAAAACAAAATTTTATTTTCCAAACAAATATCCGAACACCTTAATTCACGAGATGGTAAACCTTTTCGAGGGCGTCTCATTTAAAAACTCATTTTGTGCTAATTTTACAGACAGAAATTAATAGCAGAGGCAAATCTCAAGTTTCAATCTAATCACTCAGACACGATCTATTGCAGAAACGAACCCCAACTACGCACTACAGCAGTTTTACATGAAGTGTTATCCATGGCTGGCTGGGTTCCGTGGAGCTTTTCCAAGGGTCACCAAAACAATGCCGGGAGTAATTTCAACCCCAAACGACCAATAATATCATAAAGATGAATTAATTATACAACACAGTATGTCGAAAAGGAAACATTTGTTTACTACGACACTGTGTTTTCAACCAGATGAGACCAGTATCCAATAAAAATACATACTAAATTCCACACATACAATTTAATAGCATTTTAAAACCGGTTTAGCGACGTACCTAAGGAAAACCACGACTTGCAGAAATATAAAACATTTTCGATACATCGAAAACAACAAGTCAAGAAATTTTGTATTAGGCTGTTAAGCAGATAAAATGTTGTACTTCCACCTTCTGTAAATGGTATGTTTACGTGTAGAGTTTTCGAAACTATTTTCTTCAACCGATAAACTCTGGGCAGCAAAAGTCATGGGTGGCTGCACCTTGCAGTGTAATTACTCGTAATATCTCTTGTACGAAAGTATGGTAATTGATCACTTGAAGGCAGAAACAGCTTTGAGCTATATACCCTGTTGTACAACTGCTTTCAAAAGAGTAACAACAATGCCGAGTAAACACGACGTTTCCTAGGTAACCAGGTTACACTTTTTCGTTTCCCTTTTTCGCCGAATGACCCTTCCTTATAGACGTATTTAGGCCAAAAAAATTTAATGCAACAATAGTCCTATGTCCATCCATTGCGGAGCTTTGGGCGTTTTAGGACGCGAAAACAAGCACCTAGTTGCGTGTATTCCGATAGATGGCAGCACTGGTGACAGTTTAGGCTGAAGGTGTTAACACAATCGACTGTGGTTGCTTCACATTTTAGTCAAATTACGGCTCATTTGAATCAGCGGTGATAAACTAGTTGGATTGGTCGTCGTGCTCTAATATCTTATTCGGCTTGATTTCTTTTATAGATTCTAATGCGATAGATTACATGCAGGACCAAAGTATAAAGAAGAGAGGAAACTCCTACATCAGATAATGGATGCTGATGTTTACATATGAGAACCCTAAATGATTCAACGGGCAGTAAACTTTGGTTTCGAACAGGTAAGACTACGCATTGACAACTGTAGTGAAGATTCTGAACGGTTACAAGATGTATCTCGATTAATCCATTTATTTTTCCCTGTGCGCACCTTGAAACCACCACAGCTCCAAAATGGTTGGAAATAGCACAAATGTTATATTAAAAATTACATCCCAAATCATGTCCCTGCCCATGTACAGCAGACCTTTTGTGACACACCTGTATACACACAAAACTTGTTTAAAAACTGCTTCAATGTCAAACTGTAACACAGCACTAAACTAAAAGAATAAAACAAATCTGATTTAAATGCAGCCTAAACATGGGACTCCATTCTTTTACTGCGACCTTCAACTGAAACAATCGATTTATTTATTTTCTTTGAGAATAAACACAAAAAGTATATGATCTTATGTAAAGTGGCTAGATCACTAAACAGTCCGATCTAAGTGTAAACTGAAATGGCTTCACGATACTACAATCCAAGCTGGTTTAAACGTTCTCAAGTGCAGTCGAGCTTGGTCTAATATTCAGTGGCACTAACTAAATCTCCATAAAACACATGCTTTTCTGCCTCTATTACAAAAACATACACGGAATAACCAATTCGTTTATAATGGCATCTGGCACCTTGAGCTCACCCGGCTGCTTTGCATGGACAGCAACAAATGTAACGGGACTTTCACCTACCCTCTGTGTCAACGTTTTTTAAACAATACCAAGTGACTGAGGGCTCTAACTTCGCAGTAGCCTCAGAAAATGTATGGAAAAAGTACAGTAGCTTCAGTAACAAACAGGCTTCAAAAACAGAATGGCTGAAGTTGAAAAGAAAAGAAAAGTGTTAAGTGTGGAAGATAAAGTTAATGAGGTAGAACAAATTGAGAGTGAAAAGAAAAAAAGCTTATGTGTGCCAGGAATTTGGTTTACATAATTCCACAAATCAAATCATATGGAAAAACGGGGATAAAATTGTCAGTTCTCTTGCAAAAAAAATGGATAAATTAAACGATTACGGAAGCCAGAACAGAGCGATGTGATAGATGTGCTATTAAAATGGTATAAACTAAAAAGAAGTGAAAATGTACCGGTGAGCAGTCCTCTTCTCACGTCTAAGACGGAAGAACTTGCAAAACTCTTATATTATTATTGACAAATTAAAATGTCCTGGATGTTTCAAAAAATGTAAAATGCCTGCAGATCTTTCGGTATCTAAAATCAGAATTAGTTACATGAAGCAAGGTGACTGGAGATCGGGACACAGACTCAATGTAAATAGGATAACATGCAAAAAGGAAGATTACTCAATTGTTGTTTCTTATGTGCATGAAAGCGGTAACATATCCAGGATGCCACATTAAAACAAATGGACAAAAATTACATTTAGAAGAGATTCAGAAATATGATACATTTCGGTGTCTTTGTAAACAAACAAGTGTTTTCTAAGTAAAATAGGAGGGAAAAAGGAAAAACATTCAACATTACCCCAGATAATTCTGAGACAGGGATTCACCTCTTAACCATCCAGCTTCCAACTACTTCCCTGACTGCACGTCTTCAGCATAGAAATTTTTAACATATTTGGTAAAGTTTCACATATCCTTTTCTGTGAGGCAAAAATTTGTGGCGTTATGCCACATCTTTGACAAATCAGGGCTTGCTGTGGGTGAATCTAATTATCAATTTGTAGTTTATTTAACGCGGCTTTTCAGTAGCTCAGACTATATAATGTTGAATAAGAGGATAATAGTGAATCGGAAAGGATGTGGAAGGAAGCGTTTGTGGCCTAAATTAGGGTACTATCCCAGCATTTGCCTGGAGAGAGTGAGGAAAACCACAAATAACCTAGATAGGACAGCCAGCGTCTGAGCTGTGGGTGGGGGAAAAATCAAAGTTACAGATCACTGGGTTAAACAAAGCCAAGGTCTGAAAACAAAGAAGAAGAAACAAAAACAGTTTACTTACACAACTCGTCCAAATTCATCTCGTGGTAAAACTGTAGGTTTATTACCATCATTATCCACTAGCATATTTCGGTACGCAGCTACCTTCGTCTCAATTTCAGACTGGGAATACCTGAAAAATTAAATATGAAAAGTACAAATTAGACAAAAAATGTAGCGTGATTCAACTTTATGCACACTGATGGGCATCTGTTGCTTCTTTACAGAAGAATTGCATGAACATTACAACAACAACAACAACAAATGTTACTGCCATACAGTTAATACGAAGGAACATAAACTTCAGTTTTATGAAGGCTATAATATAACTACACATTGTATTTGCAATGCACTAAAATGTCAGAGGTGAGCAAAAGGTAGACTTCTGATTAAATATTACTTCTGTAAATCATACTACCTTCATACCTCTACACAATAGAGAGAAAATAATCTATTCAAGAATCCTCTCACACATGAAAATACCAATCTAAGGGGCCACCATGTTTCCAACTTCTGTTCTTAAAACCATTAACCACCTACAAAACATGTCTGGCATAATAATAACAGCAGACATTTTAAAACGTTCACTTAATTTGTTATCACCTTATGCATTTTAACATCCCATCCATTACAACAGGAAATTCTAGGCAAAACTTACAGCCTACTTTCATTAAAATTCTTCAGCAGAAATTATAAATTAATATATGACTTACAGATCCACTTACATGTATAATTTCAAATAACAATGATTTTTCTTACCACATTAAATTTGCACTGTCAACAAATTTATAATTTTAATCACATAAGAACCAACACTCAGCATTTCAGCATGTGTGCGCGTGAGTGCGGGGGGATTATTTAATGACACTATTAGTGGCTCATATCGTACAGCACAAAAAATAGTCAGAATAGATGACTTCCAGACAAAATATGAACCAGAGACCACAAAGATGAAGGAGAAGGAGGTAATACATTCTTCTGAAATATCAAAAATAATACCCCAAAACAAAGAAACGGACAGGCCTGCTATCCATTGCCAGTTCCCATCAGCTAGCATGCAACAAAGGAATGGACTGGTTACCCAGCAGCCCTGAGGATGAGAACAGAGATTGTTCTCAAAACATTGGCAGAAGATATGGTTTATTCACCTGACGTGGTTTGTAGCCCAAGAGTCTTTCATCATATTATATATGAGACCAAAGAAATACACTGAAAAAATTATTGGGAGCTATCAGTGTGATTTCAGAGAAGGTAAATCAACTACGGATCAAATTCACACATCGAGGCAACTACTTGAAAAGACCCAAGAACATAAAATCGGCACACATCATCTGTTCAATGATTTTAAGGCAGCTTATGATATCATTAGGAGGGACAAACTATTCGGTGCCATAGAAGAATCTGAAATACCAAAGAAGTTGGTTAGCTTAACCAGATCCACTGTAAAACAGTTACAGACAGATTTATTGGAACCATTTGCCATACGTAAAGGCTTGAGATAGAGGGATGCACTTGCAGGCCTTCTGTTTCATATGGCATTGGAAAAGGTAATAAGAGACTCAGACGTAAAAAAAAAAACGAGGCACTAAGTCAGTGTAGATCCTAGCTTATGCTGATTTATACATAATTGGAAGATCCAAAACAGCTGTCAAAGAGACATTAATTAGGTTAGATAATGAAGCACAACAAATGGGCCTTAAAATAAATGAGGACAAAACAAAGTTCATGGAAGTAACCATGAATCAAACAAACACAAAATTTATAAGTGCTAGCAAGTATAAGTCTGAGAAAGAGACAGCATTTAAATACTTACGTACTTTGATGAAGATAATATGAGAATCATCGAGAGGAAAGTTCTAAGGAAAATACATGGGCCAACAAATGACAATGGAAGATGAAGTAGGTACAATCATGAATTATATCAGCTTTTTGGTGAACCCAATATCATTAAGGAAATTAAAGTGAGAAGAGTAAGGTGGCTAGGATACCTCTTTAGAGCAAATGACCTACATCAGTGTAAGAAAATTACATTTACAAGACCAGATGGTACTAGAAGGGTCAGACGACCTCCTACAAGATGGCTTGAGAGTGTTGAGGAAGACCTTAGGACAATGGAGTAAGTGGATGGAAACTTGTGGCACTGTACAGAGTTAAGTGAAAAGGCATCACATGGGTGGTCAAGGCCAGAACAAGGCTGTAGAAACAGAATGAATGAATTATACTTGTCAAAACATGCTTTCAATTTGGAGGGAAATCAGTGAAAGACTCACAAAATGTTCTATCATTTATTAGGTAGAATGGAATTATTTAGTTGTTCAGACTTGTATTATAAAAATCACGTCCTTGCTCATAACATTTGCAGTGTAATAGTTTCAAATGCGATAAAATGTCTACGATGGAAGGTAGATTTCATTTTAATGTGTTTGTAGATTCGGGGGGGGGGGGTGTATATATTAGATTGATTCGGAAAACTGAGTAGGACTGTAATCTGCCTCTATCAATTTAGATTATATGGCAGCATTATCCACAAAAACCACATCCTAACCAACACCATGGATGCTTCAAATTTCTATTGTCCAACATCACACATTATGCTGAAGATGCCAAATAAGCATAATTATCATCTGTTTTACATATCAGTGCTATTATTAAGTCAAAGCAACTGGCCACAGCAGCATATTAAAGATGTGTGTTAACTTTTTTTCTTCAAACTCTATAAAACAGGGTTCTTCTTGAAAAGCTGTCAATCACAACTAAATATTTAATTCTTTTGACTCCATTTTCTATGACCATAATCACTAAATCCAGCCAATCTTGTTGCAGTTGTAGTGCTGTTTCAGTCACATCCCTAATTTTAAGCTGCTTTAAAATGACAAAATAATTGTCAAGATTACTCCAGCCAAAACACAATTAAAATCTTTTAACCATTACATAATTTATTTCTAAATACAGTTTCTCAAAATGACACACTCATTAAAACAGAGAACTTGGATTTGTGTTAACATTTTGAAACATAGAGCTGAAATCATTTTCAGTAAAAACTCAGCACTGTAAAGTTTTCAGTTTCTGCAGCTTTCAATTTAAATAGCTTATCAAATGTAGGTCATTCTGAGTGTTTTACAAAGACAGGTTTCTATTTCAGACAATAAAACGGCCCTGACAGATATAAATCATGCAACATTAGAAAAAAACTTAAAATACATTGATCATACGCAATGTGTTCGACAGAATGTACCCCAAATGAGGTCCTCTGATAAATTTGACTCACACAGAAAAATCAATTTTCCGTTAAAAATTGGCCACCGACCATGCTTAAATTTTAATAAAATCAATTGGACCTTGAAGTGTCTCTTAAGACTTCATACACCACGTCAACAAGCAAGCAAGCAAGCGAAGCGAAGATAAAAATAGAACCGGGACTCGAAATACACAAAGCTATGTTTAATTAATCACCTCCCCAATAGAAAAAATGAAGCATAGCCGCTCGTAAGTATCTCATGAGTTTATAATAAATATCGATCTCATGACGATACACTGCATAAACCTTGAGCGCGCTACTATATGGGGTGTTTGACAACCAGTTTGGTATACTCCACGGGAGGGAGACGGCAGATTCAGGCATTAATGTCGAGTAAAAATATTAATACAACAATGGTTCTATTCCAAGCCGTTGCGGAGCTGTGGCACAAAGGAAAATGAACGAGAATATTAATGATTGCCACATTTTATTAGCTAATTTATTTGTTCAAAATGCTCGTCACTGTTCTCAATGCAGTCTTGCGCGTTACAAATAAGTTTCCTGACCATTTAACAATTCCCAACTAACGTCAATTAACACACAGCAGGAGAAATGGCAACGTTGCTTACAGCACGGTTAAAACAAACCCTGGTGTGTTCAAGTGTGTTCGTCGGTCCACTGTTCGTAGTGCTCGGGCATGCGTGTAAACAACGCACAAAAACTCAAAACAATTAGAATTTGTATTTCAGAGTAAACTGTGACTATTTAACTGTGTACACAGTCCGCCAAACATCGTCGGATATTTTCACCGGCGTCAATGCTACAGCATTACACAACGCAAGTAAAATCAGATACGTCGCGTGTCTCACGAATACTACCAAAAGGATCTTTGTCTAAAATAACTTCGTTTACAGTACTAGCCACAATACGACCTCTTGCTACAAATATATAGTATGTTTCATATCAATTTATCGATTTCACTTGCGTGCACATTTGTCTTTCGTAACATCCGTTAAGTCTGACTCGCACGTCGTGAATAATTCGTAGAGCGTAGGATGAAGGCAGCCAAAGAAAATGCAACAATCTCGCAGTTTGCATTAAAGATACTGAAGAGGCTACCTTCAAACAACAGCGAACTCATCTATACTACATAAAACCTAGGCAGATTTCAGAAGCACCACAAACATGGGTGACCAACACCTAGCACAAATTATACGCTGTTCCTTTAAATTGAAAGGGGTTTGAAATAAATAGTGGAAAATTAAGAAACAGAAATCAAGAAAATAAAGAAAGGGGAAAATATAATAAATTATTCTCGGGCTACCAGCCGTGTAAAGTGGCTATTGAAGAAAACACCAACGTTTTGAGAAACATCTTCGTCCTCAGCTTCAGACCATACAAAGGGGAAAGGGTCAACTTCTACGAGACTTCTCGGGGTAAATATAGCTTAAAGCTATCATTTTTAAGAATAGACATAACAAAGAAACAATTTCCCGTTGAATATAAACTGGCATTTTCCACGACTTTTCAAATAAATGACAGCTCTACCGATCTCATTACAACACGAACTCAATAATGAACCTTCTCTAGTTCCTAGTCCCACAACATTTCAGAGATTAATGGGTGCTTCCTTGTGCGAGTTAAATTCAATGTTCTGCCCTAGAAATGGAAAGTGGATCTTCAATACTTTCGATTAGTTCCTTCCCAGTTACTGTAGTACATGTAATGGACTAAACCTGTAACACGAATAAAAACTTCTATGGGACTAGAACTGGATTTAAATTTAATATGCGTCTATCTGGTTGAATGTTTCGTTCCAACTAAGATATCTTAGCTACTGTAGATTTCTGTCTTCGCATCGCCCTGATGACGGAGGCAGTATGACCTCCGAAACG